TTCAAGCAAAAAGTAGGCTTCAATTGCCAAGTTGAAGAAGAAAGATTTTGTCCTAAAGGCACTGTTGCCTAGTTGTTTCAGTCACATCTGATTCTTTGTGACCCCATTTGGGGTTTCCTTGGCATAGGTACAGGAGTGGTTTTCCATTTTCTTCTCCAGCTCATTTTACAGATGAGGAAACTGAGGCAAACAGGGTAAAGTGACTTGCTCAGGGTCACACAGCTAATAAGTGTCTGAGGCCAGATTTGAATTCAGGAAGATGAGTCTTCCTGACCACAGGCCCAGTGCTCTAATTGCACCACCCAGCTGCTCCCTAAAGGCACTAGGGAAGCCCTGAAGATTCTTGAGCAAAGGCCAAGCCCTTGATTTTTCTCTGTCCCCATTCCTGCTTGGCCCTCTCCTATCTCCATGTCTAGAGCAGAACCCTGCCCCACCCTCCCATGCCCCCACACATTCATCTCTACTTATTGAAGTCCCTTCCTGTCTTTCAATATCCAGCTCAGGTTCCAACTCCTCTGTGAAGTCTTCCCTGATTACCCCCATCACCCCCAAATAACTGAAAACTATCTCTGTCTCCTTGAATGCCTCAGTTTCTCATATTTTCCATGAACCTCTGCTCTGCACTTGTGTCACTCTGATAGCTCACAAGGTAGAAGCATAGTAATTCTTTGCTAAATCAAAATGAATCAAGAAACAGCCAAACTTTTAACTGACCAGGTATCTTGGGCCTAAGCAGAAGAGTAACCTTAGACACCCTCTTCCAGAATGTCAGGGCTTATCCTCAGGAGGACAGACCACAAGCCTAGCTCCTGAGACTCAAGCTCATCCTGGAAATGAAAGCTTACTATAAACACTTTCTAATGAAGAGAGCTAGCCAAAGGGGGAGCAAGTGCCTTGGGAGGTAATGAGTTTCCTCTCTGTGGAGGTCTTCCAGCAGAGGATGGCCAGTCACCTGCCAGGTGTTTAGCAGAAGGGATTCCTCTGCTCAGATATGAGCTCCTCTAGATGCCCTCTGTGGAAAAGGAAATGGCAAACCCTTCCAGTATCTTTGCCATGAAGACCCCAAACGGAGTTGCAATGAATCAGACGTGACTGAAAATGACTGAACAGCAGCAGAAAAGCCCTCTGAGGTCCCTTCCACAGCTCTTGGGTTCCAGAATTCTGTTCTCTCTCACAGAGCCATAGAACATTAGAACTGGAAGGGACCTTGAAGGTCATCTGGTGGCCCAGAGGTTCTTAACCTGGGATTCGTGAACTTGTTTTTTTTTAAATATTTTGAAGTATTTCAATATAATTGGTCCTCTCTGTAATCCTATGTATTTTATTTTATATACTGAAAAACATTATTCTGAGAAGGGGGCCATAGCATTCACTTAACCATGTTATGATACTCTATCTCCCCCCAAAATTATAAAACCTCTAATCTATTCCAGTCTCCCCATTTTATGGATGAGAAAACTGAAGCCAAAGAGAGGAAGGGAATTGCCTATAGTCACACTGAGACAAATGCATTAGTGTGCTGATTTCCCGAAGCCTCTCCAATATTTATAACCTTCCTCTTCTGCCATCTTTTGTTAATCAGTTCTGTATAAAGTGAAACCTTGGAGTTGCTTTAATTGGTCTTTCTCTAATTATTAGTGATTTGGAGCATTTTTTCATATGGTTATTGATAGATTATAATTCTTCCTTTAAAAATTGCCATTCATCTCCTTTAACCATCTATCTATTGGAGAATGGCTCTTAATCTTATAAATTTGAATGAATTGCTTACATATCTTAGATGTGAGACCTTTATTAGAGAAACTTTCTGCAAAAATTTTCTCAGTTATCTCTTTCCCTTCTAAATTTAACCATATTGGTTTTAGTTGTGAAAAATTGGTTTAATTTTATATAATCCTTATTATCCATTTTGTCTTCTGTGATCCTCTCTATCCCCTTTTCTAGTTATAAAATCTTCCTTTAACATATCAGAAAGGTAATCTCTTCCCTGCTCCTCTAATTTGCTTATGATATCACCTTTTATGTGTAAGTCCTCCAATCTTTTAGAGTTTATTTTGTAATATGGTGTGATATCTTGGTCTATACCTAATTTCTGCCGATATGCCTTCTGATTTTCTCTTGAATTTTTTTGTCAAATACTAAGTCCTTACACCAGTTATTGGTATCTTTGGAACCTGGATCCTTTGGCTGGGAGGTCAGTGTGTAGCGTCCACTAATGTGTGACCTCTAACTGCCTCTGACATTCCTCTTTGTAATAGCCACGTCATCTTCAAGAAACAATCTAAAACTGTTTCCAAACTTTTTCTTCATGCCAAGACCAAAGTTTCAAGCACACAGGATCTCACCCATCTCAGCCCCCTTGACGTTCCTATGGCAGACATAGCACCAACAGTCAGAGTTTTCAGTTGTGTACAAATTCATTCCTGACTCTGAAAGGATGAGATTTACAAGTAGACTCTGTGCTTTAGGAATGGGAGGAACAGCTTCGGATTCAACAGAATTAAGGGGTCTTAAGTTAATGAAGTGGAAGCTGATGACTACAAGCCTGAATTCTTGTGTTTAATTGAGCCTGGAGCCCTGGAAGCTTCACAGAGTAGAAGAGATGCTCTTTGTGGCCAAGGAGTTTTCATGGCAGGTGGAATTGCAGTATACTGAAAGACCATGGGGAAGAGAGAGCGGATGACCTTCTGAGCCTCATGAGAGGAGCTGGTGCAGGACAGAGGCACAGAATACTAGAGGAGAAAGGACATTAGGTATTAGAAAGTCACCCTGAACTTAGAGTAAAGCAGCTCTCAGCAGAGAGGTAGTGGATTGGAGTTGTAGAATGAGGCATACCTTTCCAGACATAGTCTGTGAGTAGATTTGTTTTCCTTAACTTCAGTTCGTTGTTACAAGGGAGGATTAGACTTGGTGGGGGAGAAGAATAGGAAGGCATCACTGAGAAACTTTGACAGAGTTAAAAAACAAGAGTCAATAAATATAGTTTTAATGATGCCCATCAGATGTCCTTAGGGAAGTCAGTTTGGGTGTTTAAAGTTTTTTAAGTTTAAAAAAATCTTCAGTAAATACACACATATTCCCCAAACCCCAAAACCCACGAGCATTTCCATATACACAGCAGAAAACAAAAAGAGGATTGCATGAAAAATGTTAATCTCTCGTATATGGCTTGCTTTTTTTTTTTAAAAAAAAGCATATAATAAATTCAACATGTTTTATTCAAAACTGCCCTGCCAATTTTTGCTTCTTTTTAAACTTCTGTTTTCTTCTGTTCATTTAAATTTTGTTCCAATGGCCTTCTTCTTCTTTATCATTATCATCATCACCATCATCACCATCACCATCATCACCATCATCACCATATCACCACCATCATCATCATCATCATCATCATCATCATCATCATCATCATCATCGTCACTACTATTGCCCCCACCATCAATTCAAGACAGGAAAAAACACCTTTGTAACAAATAAGCATAGTCAAACAAAACAAATCCACATAGTCGCTAAGTCCCAAAATGTATGTTTCTGCACCTTCTGTCTAGCTCCTCTCTGTTAGGAGGTGGGTAACATGTTTCATCATTGGTCCTCAGGAGATGTGCTTGCTTGGTCATTGCCTTGATCAGAGTTCTTAAGTTTTTTTTAAAGTTGTTTTTCTTTACATTGCTGCCATCCTTGTAAAATTGTCCTTCTGGTTCTATTCATTTCACTCTATGTCAGTTCATACTTCCCAGGATTCTTTAAAATAGTTTCTTTTGTCCTTTATTACAGAACAATAATATTCCATTACATGTATATACCAAAATTGGTTTAGGCATTGCCCAATGGATGGGCGACCCCTTGGCATCCAGTTCTTTGCCTTTAAATTTTCTTAATGTTCCCTTCAGAATCAGGAAGTTCATTTTTCTTATGACTATTCCTTCCTTGGTATCATGCTGCCTCTCTCCTCTCCCATCTCCAGGTCTGCCCGTTGAATTTGATATATTTCCACTCCAGACTTTATAGGTTTGTGTTCACTACTCCTTTGTACAGTTCAGGTAAAAGTAAGAGTCATTTGATACCACCTCCTCCATTTTTTTTATGTTTGTATACTCTTATTCTCATGTATTCTGATGATGAGAAATAACAAGTTCCATAACTTTTTTCCTCTTTTCTATACTTGTGTATTCCTTTTGCTCTCACTTTTCTGTTCTTTCTTAAAAAAAAAAATACTACTCATGACAAGATTAAGACATTATGGGGGCAGCTAGGTGGCACAGTGGATAGAGCACCAGCCCTGAAGTCAGGAGGATCTGAGTTCAAATCCAGCCTCAGACCAAACACTAGACACTTACTAGCTGTGTGACCCTGGGCAAGTCACTTAACCTCAATTACCAAAAAAAAAAAAAAAAAGATTAAGACATTATTCTGTCTTCTATAGGTTTTTTAAACATTTTTTTAAATTTAATTCCTTCATTACCATTTGAAGACATTTGGGTTCTGCAGAAACTAGTTTCTTCTTTCCTATTAGAATGTTAGCACAACATCATCATACAGCCCCTTCCAATTACTCAAACAAAATTAACTTTCTGTATTTCTCTTGCATCTTGTGTTTGCATTTCAAAATTTCTATTAAGCTCTGATTTTGCCATTGAGAATGCTTCAAAGTCCTTTATTGTGTTAAAGGTTCATTCCTCCCCTGCTCCACCCCCCCAACAAAAGAATCATACTTAGATTTGCAAGGTAAATTGTTTTTGTTTGTAAGCTTACATATTTTACCTTTTGTAATATTGTATTTTAAGTTCTCACCTTCTTTATAGTAAAACTACCAGGATCTTGCATGATCCTGACTATGGTTCTTTGGTACTTGAATTCTTTCTTTCTGGATACTTGCAATATTTTTTCCTTTGACGTGGATGCTCTGATTTTTAATATGACATTCTTAGGACTTTTCCTTTTCAGAATTCTTTCAGCAGATGATTGGTGGATTCTATTTTCACTTTGCCCTGTCAAACAGATAAAATATGGAATGCTTCATGAATTTATGTGCCATCCTTGTGCAGGGGCCATGCTAATCTCTTCTCTCTCATTCCAATTTTAGTGTATGTGCTGCTGAAGTTAGCACAGGGCAGTTTAGGAGGACAGTTCAGATGAGGAACACTTTTCCCCCTACTCTCTTTAAGAGATTGGGTGGAATGAATTCTTTCTGACTATGCCTATCTCCACCCACTGGGCCCAGCTCCGCACCTGACTTTCTGTTAAGGTTTCTGCCTCTATTCTCTCTCCTGGGCATGGGGTTGTAGAAAACACAAAGACCTTAGATGCAGCATGGCCTGTCTACTTGGAGAAAATGAGATTAATTTGTGAGTGTTTTAATCTAGAACAAGGACACTGGCTCCACAAAGTTAGAAAGCTTAAAAATATGGATTATAAATACAATTCACAAAGCTCTGGGACCCTAGGCAATTGTTTTGATCACTAGGCCAGAAAAGAGACTTATTTTTAGTCACTTGAATTTATTGTAGTCAAATTTCTACAGTCCTCTTCCCTCCCTAAACACACACACACACACACACACACACACACACACACACACACACACA